TGAACAAAATTGAATGGTACAATAGAACGAGAAATACTTCGAGGAAAAGGTAAAGCAGAAAATTTTATTAATTTGCAACCACTGCAATCAGAAATATCATGAGTTTGTAAATCTCCTAAAAGACCCTTAGAAACTAAAAATTTCAAACAACTTGCTAAAATATGTCCAAGGCGAGAATTCCACAAATAAAAACAAGAAAAAGATGAATTCAAAGATAAAGATGACAAGTCGTCACTAGATGTTGAAACATATTATGGTCTCAGATTGTCCAACACATATAATTTTCATTGTCTACGGCCTATCCCAATTAGTTTATGAGATCGAGGATCCTGCACATGACAAGTAGTAGAAAAAATTGAACTAAATATCTCAAATCACATAATTGGCCAATAGAAATAAGATTCAAAGTAAGAGCTGGAAACTTAATAAAGGTCTAGAAGCAATAAATTATATGTATTGATCGAATCAATACCTGCTAAAGGCAATGGGATGCCATCAGCAGACATAGACACATTAGAAGGGTGTAAGTCATTAAAGAATTTTGAATTAGATGATATGTGTTTGGAAGTACCTGATTTAAAGATCCATGAGGAAAAAATACCTGAGGGGCTTTGGGATGAAAAATCTATATGAATAGAGGCTGACATAGAATGTGGCTGTGTGGCTAAGAATTTCTAAAACTGATCTACTAAATCAGTTAACATGAGATTGGAGGAAGGTGGTGCTCCAAGTACAGACAAGTCACTAGGTGGCATGATAGAAGCTATGTTGGCATTAGGATGATAGGATCATTGTTATGATTGCTGCTTCTTCGATAGTTTCGGACACTGAGACTTCCAATGTTCTTTTCATTTGCAAAAGCTACACTCATTGCTAATAACTCTCGTATAACCTTTATTTTGATTCTGTGTGAACGATCGAGAGAGTTCAACAAATACTGAGGTGTTAGACGAAGAAAGAGATACTTCTCTTGTAAAGGGTTTTCAAACATGTTTCCTTAGCCACATGTTCACTAATAACTGAAGGAAGTGGAGTGCGGTGTAAGATAGAGCCTCTAAGTCCCTCAAAATCACTGCGAGGTGCCATTAAAAACAGAGCTAATCGCTGCTCTTCTCTAAAAAGTAATTATTTCTCACATGTTTTCAACCCTGCTGATTCTGTAAGAGCCAACTCATCAAAAATCGAATGCATAGCAAAATAAAAATCGAAATACCCATATTCTTCTATTGTAATGTCCATATATCTATCTCCAATTGATACCACTTTGCAAAGTTGAATTTATTGTATAGCTTCTAAAAGTGATCTCAAACTTTTTTTGCTATTTCAAACTTCTCTAATTGTATACCAATGGATTGCTCACAAAATTATGAATCCAAGTATTTTCGCATTGTTTAACTCCCACATATCTAATTCTGTCACATAATTATCAGCAGTGTTATTAGGTTTCACAACGGTTCCACTTGCACAACCCACAATCTTTTCCCTTTAGGAAATTCTTCATCATAGTACTCCAATATGAATAACTTTTACCATTTAATTTGACACTAATAGATTGAAGTGAATCATCCGTATCAATCGTCATCATAGAATCTACAACTAATCAATTATGAATCAAAGAAATCACCAAATTCTAAAAAAATCAACAACAACCAACGCACTACCTCTAGCTACTATCTTAACATACTGCACAGTACATGAACTATCAAGCTAATAACACCAAATGATCAAAAAATCACCAAGGAAGTGTGCCTTTTATAGTCACCTCGAAATTCCAAGCCATGCACCATAACCTAATCTACGCATGACCTCACGCTCCTCCGTTATCCGCTGCTGCTCGCCTTCACACACCCAATTGGAAGATTCTTCTCGATCTGTAGAGCATTGAGATGGTCTTGGTTTCTTCAAATAGTGTCCAATTTGGCGAAAAAACAAGAAAAAAGAATTAGCTAATGAGTAGTTTTTTGGACAAAACTTTGTATTGTGATTTTCTACAACAAATCCCTAAAAGTGTAAACAAACAAACATCAGGTGAAGCTACAAACAAATGACAAGTTTTAAAGAGAAAAACTCACGAGCATCGGAATATTGGGTCGGCACGATGCAAGCTGAGGCTTTATCTCCCTCAACCAATTGCCACTTGCCCTTGACCTAGACCATGACTCTTTCCACCCTTTTATCGAAGATGGCAAACATAATATGAAAGGTGCATGGGCTCTCCAAGGAGTCATATAATACCACTCCTAAAACTCTTTTTTCCCTAGTATTCGAGGGTAGAAAGGAGATTGGAAGAAGTGGAGGAGCATATCTTCACCAAGCGAGGTTTCCTTCTAAAGGAAGTACACCCCGACCAACTCGCTCTACCCAATTGGCAATAATTGGGTCAAGGCCAACCACATTTTTCATAAAAATCACCATTCCAAAATATATTTTCCTCAAACACATTAAAATGGAGCCTAAACATGGGCTAAAATGAAAGTGATGAACGTCACTTCATCTTTATTGGATAAGAACTTTTCTCATAGGTAGGAGACATGGTCACCCTCACAACTATTGGTTTCAATGAATAAGTGGCATATTTTTCCCTGGATAATTCTATGTGTACACCTCAAAGTGTATGAGGTGTACACAATATATTACACCCCCTCACATGGAGGGGGCCCATGAATATTTTATTTTATGTGGGGCCCCCTCCACATGAGAGGGGTGTAATAGCATTGTCATTTTTCCTTAGCACGTCCAAACGTC